TGAGTCCTTTTTTTTTTTTTTTGTGTTTATTTGTTGATTTTACAGATTTTTCGCAACAGCCCAATAGATTAGAGCTCATTTACAAAAAAAATAGAGCTCAGTTACAAACTGATTATTCAAAAAGTTTGTAATAAAATCTAAGTCCGTTTTTTTTTTTTTTTGTTGTGTTTATTTGGCAATTTTACAGATTCTTTGCAACAATCCAATAAATCAGAGCTCAGTTACAAAAAAAATAGAGCTCAGTTACAAATTGATTATAATAAAATCAGAGTCCTTTTTTTTTTGTGTTTATTTGATGATTTTACAGATTTTTCACAACAGCCCAATAGACCAGAGCTTAGTTACAAAAAAAATAGAGCTCAGTTACAAACTGATTATTCAAACAGTTTGTACTAAAATCTGAGTCCTTTTCTTTTTTTGTGTTTATTTCGCTCATTGGATTACTCAGCATAGACTTTGATGAGTTGATTAAGATTTTTTTGAGTATCAAGGGGGTGAGTTCCTTCTCCTGAACCCCATTTTCAAACATTGGGTAAAGCAAAGTGATTCGGGCTTGTGAAATTTGTTAATAGATTGCATCTTACTCAAGTTAGGCATTTCATGTTTTTCTTCTTGGCATATTTTGAGTTAATTTGCAGCATGTGCATTAAAATTAAACCTTCTTGGTATGATTGGCATGATTGCATCTTACTGAGTTATTTTGAGTTCCTTCTTGGCATGATTGCATCTTACTGGTGATTAGGGGTTCTTGGTGTTCAATTTCGTCTTTTTTTTTGTTCTCTTATTCATTCTTGTAAAGTGGCCAAATAAGGATTCTACTTACGGTGAAATTATCGCTAATATACCTTAATTTTAAGAAAATTGCAAAAAAACCCCCAACTTCTTGCCCACACCCTTTTTCCCAATTTTTGAGATTTTTTGGATGAAAATACCCTTTACGGTTGTCTTTCTACCATAATACATTTTGAATGTATTACGGTAGAAAGATTACCGTAATAGTGCGAAGATATATTACGGTACTTCGAATACCGTAATGAACATTACGGTAATATAAATACTGTAAAGAACATTACGGTAATATAAATACTGTAAAGGACATTACGGTACTTTAATTACTGTAATACATAAATATATTCTTCATGGCATTCTTAGTACTGTAATGCTTTGAAAAGCTTCAAACCAAAGCTAATATCATGGCTACCCCTCTCCTCCCGCGCTCTAATATTTCTAAACGTCCTGGTTTCCCTGCCTCTCTAGTCTAAAATTTGTTGATCTCCACTCCTCCTCCCTCAATGGCACCATCCCTCCCTCTCTCTTCAACCTAACCCTCGTCGATCTCTCTTGCAATAACCTTACTAGATCCCTTCCCCTTTCTGTCTCCTCTTCTGTTGCCCAATTGAACCTTTCCCATATCCTCCTCTATGGTGCCCTCTCATCCCAACTGGGGGCCAGTCTTGTTAGATCTCTCTCCTCCTCCTCGGATCTATCTTACAATTATCTGCAAGGCTCCCTTCCCCCTGCCTTGGCATCATCGCCCTCACCTAATAATAGCAGCAACACTCCTCA